AGCTCCTGGGTCCAGAGGTGCCGCCTTGCCTGTGGTCCGGTTTTCAAATCATGATCATGGGCCACAGGCAAGGCGGCTCCTGGGACCCAGCGTGCTGCCTGGCCTTGGCCTCAGCTTTCTGATCATGATCATCATCATGGGCCATGGGCAAGATGGCTGATTGTTCCTGGGGTGCCGCCTTACCTGTGGTCCTGCTTTCAGATCTCAATCACGGGCCGCAGGAACAGCGGATCCTGGGTCCTTGGATGCCACCATGCCTGAAGCGCAGCTTCTAAATCACAATCATGGCCCACAGGCAAGGCCGCTCCTGGGTCCCGTTGTGCCGCCATGCCTGAGGACAGCCCTCTGAAAGTGATCATGATCACGGGTCCACTTGTGTCCTGGGGTGCCACATTGCCTGTGGTCCTGCATTTAAATCTCGATCAGGATCACGATCACGTCTGCAGGCAAGGCAGCTCCTGGGTCCAGGGGTGCCGCCTTACCTGTGGTCCTGCTTTTAAATCGAGATCAAGGCTGCAGGCTGGGCAGCTCCTGGGTCCCGGGGTGCCGCCTTGTCTGTGTTCTGGCTTTCAAATCACGATCATGGGCCACAGGCAAGGCCGCTCCTGGGTCCCGTTGTGCCGCCATGCCTGAGGATAGCCCTGTTAACGTGATCATGATCACAGGTCCACTTGGGTCCCGGGGTGTCGCCTTGCCCGTGGTCCTACTTTAAAATCTCGATCAGGATCACGATCACGGCTGCAGGCAAGTCAGCTCCTGGGTCCAGGGGTGCTTCCTTGCCTGTGATCCGGCTTTCAAATAATGATCATGGGCCACAGGCAAGGCGGCTCCTGGGACCCAGCGTGCTGCCTGGCCTTGGGCTCAGCTTTCTGATCATGATCATGGTCCTGGGTCACGGGCAAGATGGCTGATTGTTCCTGGGGTGCCGCCTTGCCTATGGTCCTGCTTTCAGACGTTAATCACGGGCTGCAGATACAGCGGATCCTGGGTCCTTGGATGCCACCATGCCTGAAGCGCGGCTTCTAAATCACAACCATGGGCCACAGGCAAGGCCGCTCCTGGGTCCCATCATGCCGCCGTGCCTGAGGACAGCCCTCTCTACATGATCATGATCAAGGGTCCACTTGGGTCCCGGAGAGCCGCCTTGCCTGTGGTCCTGCTTTTAAATCTCGATCAGGATCACGATCACGCCTGCAGGCAAGGCAGCTCCTGGGTTCAGGGGTGCCGCGTTGTCTGTGGTCCTGCTTTCAGATCACAATCACGATCACGGTTACGATCATGATCACAGCTGCAGGCAAGGCCGCTCCTGGGTCCTGGGGTGCCGCCTTGCCTCAAGCCCGGCTTCTAAATCACAATCTTGGGCCACAGGTAAGGCTGCTCCTGGGACCCGAGGTGCCGCCTTGACTGTGGCCCGGCTTTCAAATCAATATCATGGGCCACAGTCAAGGCGGCTCCTGAGACCCCGTGTGCTGCCTGGCCTTGGGCTCAGCTTTCTGATCATGATCACGATCCTGGGCCACAGGAAAGATGGCTGATGATTCCTCTGGGGTGCCGCCTTGCCTGTGTTCCTGCTTTCAGATCTCAATCAGGGGCTGCAGGCACAGCGGCTCCTGGGTCCTGGGGTGCCCCCTTGCCTGAAGCCCGGCTTTAAATCACAATCATGGGCCACAGGCAAGGCGGCTCCTGGGACCAGGGGTACGCCGTGCCTGAGGTCGGCCCTCTGATCAAAATTTAAAATCTCATTTTATTCATGTCCACTTTAAAAATGAGGCCTTGTGTCCTGGGGTGCTGCCTTGCCTGTGTATTTTTCAAAGGGGAATTCAGTGTAGTATCCCCACCTGAATTAGTTACTGAAGTAGCAAACTTAATGTATTATGAAGCCTTTTAATCTATCACTGTGGATCTTACAGCACTGTCCACAGTAAGTATGCAGTATATACTAAGATACTAATAAAAAAAGTTACAATAAAAGATCTTACTATTTCCTTACTTTTTAGTATAGAGACTGGCTTTAAGCACCTAATCTTTACAAAAAATTTTAAATACTTCAACTATTCCTGCCAACATTCTGATAACTTTAATGAAATATTAAATATGCCTATATGCAACCCAGTAAAACCTGGAAAATATTTAAACTCAATCTTAATGACCCTTTTGACTGACATCCTAGCCTAGTGAATATTTTCTACTCACTTTCTTAACTGTATTATCAACTCTAAACATGTTAAATTTTTTGAAACGTTATGCTTGAAAAGACTCAAGAAGAAACATCATGGAAGTGTTCCAATCTTTAAAATTCTTCCTTGCTAATGTGCTTTTATAATTTGCCATTGTAACTGCAGAGTTAGGAGAGAAAATGCTGACATCACAGACACATTTTAACTCAAAAAGGCAGTAGTGCAACACAGACAGTCCAATAGGGAAAGCAAGATGTAGATCACAAACAATGAAATTTTACTTTCTAGATATTGGTTGTCTAATTTCTTTAAAACCAATTTCTAGACATGATAGCTAATGGTATGTATTATATAATATAAGCCCTTGGAAATACCTGCTAGCAAGGCGGTCCTGGAAAGTAATACAGAACCGCCACCCGTTGTATCCAGCGTCTGTACCACCAGAAATCTACACTTCACTAGTTCATTGTGGCAGTTTTAAGGCCAGTTACACAAGAATTTTCAAAGGCTAAAGAGCACAGAATATATGATTTTTATAATGAGAATAGTTGTTATTTAATTTCTTTGAAAGAGAAATCTTCACCCTGGCTAGATGGCTCAGTGGATTGGAGTGTCTTCCCAGGCACCAAAGGGTCCAGGATTCAGTGACCAGTCAGGGCACATACCCAGGTGCCAGGTTGGATCCCCAGTCCCAGACACTGGATGGGAGGCAACTGGTAGATATTTCTCACATATCCATGTTTCTCTCCCTTTCTCTTTCCTTCTCCCTTCCTTTCCCTCTGACATCAATTAAAAAGAAAGAGAAATCTTCAAGGTCAGAAAAACTGAAATGAAAACTCATAATTAAAATTATTTTAAAGTAATTCTTATATGGTAACAATGTCTAAAAGGTTCAGGAGGAAAGGAAACAGCACATAATATATATTTAAAAAGTAGCTATTTTGTTCTAGGAAGCAATATAAAATATTTAAGGAATTTTCTACTGTAAAATAATCCATTTTCCACATTATTAAAGTAAACATTAAAGCATTTGAAACTATACTAGTATACAGAAATAGGTACTTTAAACTTATTAAGTGAGAGGACCAAAGCTGAAAAGAAAATGTCAAGTGGCAGGTAACTAGAAATTGTTAAAAGTTTAAGAGAGACATTTCCTTTTTATCCAAAACTGAAAACAAAATTAAACAAATGTAATATCCTCTAGTAATAAAAATAATCAAAGGGATATGAAAAATACTAAGGATCCTAAATTAAGCATAGGCTAAAAAAGATCCTCATCAGGTTAAAACCTTTAACTTATTTTTAAGAGGAAATACTAAACTTGCCAGAATAGGGAATATTATATTTCAACAGTACTTGTTTTGGTAGGTGAGATACTCATTATGTCAATACCGCCCCCCCCGCCACCCCCGTCTCCCTTAAAAGGAAAGAACTTACCTGGGATTGGAGCAGGAGCAGTGATCCTTCTCCAGTCCTTGCAGATGAGGCGCTCATCATGTCACAGCCCTCATTCCTCCTTAAGATAAGATGGCATGGGCACGCTGCACATCAGTAAGGTTAGCACAGCTGCCAGATTTTTTTATGGCCACCCTGCACAGGTTTTTGTTTTCACAATATCTGGCAATGGCCTAGGGGGAGACATGAGATAGGACACAGGTACATTCAAAATAAAGGAGCTGCAGCCTTCACAGAGAAAGCATCACTGATAGCCACACAGTCCTAATTCTTTATATGGATTATGGTCATTGCCTCTTCGGAGAGCTGCGTATACACTGCATGGTCCTTGGGATCCTATTTTATGTTCATCCACGAAGTTAAGTAGTTTAGGGACTCTGATTAGATTGACACAGCAAAGGGGAACTTAGAATTTGTTAAAGTTTGGGTTTTTTCAAGATGTCAAAGGTGTGACAGTCTTCCTCACAACAGTATCATCTGTTGTCTGTACACTTGGTTCCTTAAATATAATAAATATACAGTTGGGAAATGTTATTGTTTACTCAGCTATTTACATTCTATCCAATCTTCATTAGTTAGCATTTACTCTAAGCAAATTTTAATGAGGCTGGCATGTGCTGTATTTTACTGAAAGCTCGAAAGGTCTAGTGACTGATGCACCATCAAGGTACTATTTCACTTGCACATTAAGGTAGACGCACTCTAAAGGACTATTAAGTACCACAAAAACTGTCCATTTTAGTTGTAATTTTGTTGTATACTCCCCAGAATTCATAAGCCATAAATATTACTTTGTCGCACATACTTTACAAATGCCATTAAAAACCCATATACTTTCTACACCCAGTGTTTGAAGTACATATTCTACAATCTAAGTATCTCTCTCTCAGGTTACTTTTGTCTATCAAACTGAAGGTACTGAGCTGTGATCTATACAGAAAAGACATGAATTTGCAAACTGAGTTAAGAGTGATAAGTAGAATATGGTTGTAGATATGATTAATGATACAATTGTAGGAAATTATTCATGTATGGCTATAAAATAGAATACAGTTTCAAAAAAAACCATCAAAGTTTAAAATGGATTTAAATTATTCTGAATCGTGGTCACAGAAAAGGTAATTTTATAATGTAGGATTCTTATATACACCATAAAAATACTGCTAATATGATGTGAGAGAGTTAATAAGTCTTATTCAATGTGTTAGTTTAAAACAGCTTTTCATTTTCCTAGTCTCTACATAATATGATTTATGCACAGATACTGGTTTTTGAGTCTGACGGAAAACCCCACTTTGTGATTTCACAGCCTTACCTCTAGGTTCAGTGCTCGTTCTTTTTGAAGAGGAGTCAATGCAATAGGCAACAATCCATGGTCACTTGCTAAGGACCGAAGGTCAAAATAGTATTGGGCATAGACACTGGTAGAAACATACAGACGAAACTGCAGTAGACATAGGTATTGCCTTTCCAACTCATTTCTGGGGAAGAAGGAAAACACAAAACCACCACAGGGCAATTTTAGTCAACATGGTTCTCTTCAAAATTGTCATTCTAAGCTACTAGGTTGGCTCTGAGTTTAGTTTTAATCAAATAAAGGCTACCAACCTGGGCTAATACACTAATGTTCAACCAGGCAAACAAGGCTCAACAATTTGTGGTCCCCTTTGAGTTTGGGACAAGGGGAAGGACTTTGAGTTTGGGACAAAGGGAAGGAGGTTATGTCTCTTGTGCACAACAGCTGTTGACTAGGGGCTCAATTATCAGAGTCCCATTAGTGCAGCTGTAGGTTTATTCTTCTTGCTCACTCTCAGGGCTCCACTCTAGTGCTCAGATGAAAGGAATGATGTATGCTGTTTCTTAGCCCTGAAGAACTTGCAGACATTCTCACCAGGCTGATAGCAGGAAGGGGATTAGTAAAATAGAGATGTGCCAACAAAAGGACTGGGCACATCACCACAGCAACAAATGGATCCATTCAGAACCACCACTCTTATCTTTGAGGGGAAAACTCTTGGAAAATTATCAGACACCAAAAATAAACTGAGGAAGAGACAACTCAATGGAAGCATGTACAATGCTCATGGACAGGAAGCATTAACACCTTTAAAATGTCCATACCACCTCAAATAATCTCTTTCAACCAAATTCCTATCAAGATGCCAATGCCATCTTTTACAGAAGTAGAACAACTAATCCAGAGTTTTATACGGACACACAAAAGACCCTGGACAGTTCGTCACAGCAGTTGAGAGAAAAACAAAAGAGGCTGGAGGTATCACACTACCTGATATCAAACCCCACTACAGGGTTATAGTCATCAAAACAGCATGGTACTAGCATAAAAACAAACATAGATCAATGAAACAAAATTGAAAGCCCAGAAATAACCCCACACCTATATGTTTAATTACTATTTGACAAAAGAGGAGACTTCATTCAACGGTATATAGACAGTCTATTTAATAAATGATGTTGGGTAAATTGAACAGATACATTCAAACATTGAAGCTAGACCACTTCTTACACCATATACAAGAATAGACTCAAAATGGAATGTTAACCTAAATGTAAGTGTCAAAACCATAAAACTCCTAGAAGAAAACATAGGCACTAAAATCTGGAATATTTCTCTTAGTGCTTTGCTGATAGATTACCCTGAGCAAGCGAAATAAAAGAAAAAAAAAGGATTGGGACTATATCAAACTAATAGTTTTAGTATAGCAAAAGAAAACATCAACAAAATAAAAAGACAACCCACTGATGGGAAAACATATGTGACATTGATATATCTAATAGGGGGTCTAATATTCAAAATTTATAAAAAACATACATAACTAAACAACTTCTATAAAACATATACAGCTCAATACCAAAAATACGAAAAATCTAATTAAAAAATGGACAGAAGACCTGAAAAGACACTTATCCAAAGAGAGCATACAGATGGCTGATAGATAGGAAAAGATGCTTAACATCACTGATCATCAGTGATATGCAAATTAAAACCACAATGAGATATCCTCACACCTGTCAGGATGGCTATCATCAACAAACAGCAAGTGCTGACAAGGATGTGGAGAAAAGGGAACCCTCGTGCACTTTTGGTGGCAACGTATATTGGTGCAGACACTGTGGAAAATAGTATGGAAGTTCCTCAAAAATTAAAAATTGAACTGCCTATGACTCAGTGATTCTACCCCTGGTATATATCTGAAGAAAACCAGGGCACTAATTGAGAGGATATATGCACCCTATATTCACTGCAGCATTATTCATAATCCTTAAGCTGTAGAAGCAACTCAAGTGCCCATTAACTGATGAGTGGATAAAAAAGCAGTGGAATATTATGACTCATCCATAAAAAAGAATGAATTTCTGCCATTTGTGAGAGAATAGTTGGCCTAGAGGGTATAATGTTAGTGAAATAAGTCAGTCAGAGAAATACAAATAACATATGATTTCACTAAAAAGCAATATAAATGAACAAACAAAACAGAAGCAGACTCAGAGGTAAAGGGAACATTTTGATGGTTGCCAGAGGAGAAGAGGTTTGGGGGAGCTGGGTGAAGAAGGTGAAGAAATTGAGAAGTACAGACTGGCAATTACAATGCAGTTAGGGGATATAAATTACACCATGGGAAAGAGAGTCAATAATACTGCAATAACTATGCATGGTGTCAGGTCAGTACTAAAAATATTGTGGAAAACACTTCGCCAAGCACATGATTTTCTAACCATTATGCTGTACACCTGAGACTAATATGAAATAACTAGAAGCCCGGTGCACAGATTTGTGTTCTTACAGAACCCGGGACCCTCGGGGGATGTCAGAGAGCCAGTTTCGGCCTGATCCCTGCAGGCCAGGCCGAGGGACCCCACCAGTGCACGAATCTGTGCACTGGGCCTCTAGTATGCATATAAGATCTTTGGTTAATCTCTTCCTGCACTTCCCACTCCCCCATTCTCTCTGAGATTCATCAGTCTGTTCCATGTTCCCACGCCTATGGTTATCACTCCTGCGTTAAGCATCTGCCCAGGTGGCCAATGCACCTCATAACTACTGGCTGGGCAGCCGGTCGCTTAGCTTTTATTTATATATAGATATTGAATGTAAAGTCTTATTGAAAATAAATGAAATTTTGAAAATGGGGGAATAAAACCTGAACTGGTAGAAAGCGTTAAGAAAGGCATGAAGGTATTTACATTACTGTTGTTTTTGAATCTGAGCTTCTACAAACTTTGCTACCAGAGAAATATACCAAATTATCACACAGATTATTACAATAATAACACATGAAGACATACTAATTAATGAGGAGTATGAAATGTCAAAGCAAATATGGATAGAAAAATGTACGTAATTTTATGCCTAGTTCAGTCCTCTGCACAATGTAACCTTTCAAAATATTTCTTATTTTGTAAACTTTATGGGGCAAATAAGGTATTCGAAAATGGTTTGAAACTTCATCAAAATCTTGCAAACTCACAAGTTCTTGATTGTAATGCCCCTTAGCAATGAGAAGAAGTGAAAATTCCACATAGCCTCATCGTGCAGATACTTGTATGTCAGAATAATCGCTCCCAAAACAATGCGTTTCCAGTTAGATGGGCAAATGTCGATTTCAGCATAAGATAAAAGTCTTTCTATGTAAACCTGCAAAGTAGAACACTGGTTTTTGATTCTAGTTCAGTTTAAGTGCTGTGATAAGAACTTTCAGGAATGATAGATTTCATCAGTTTTTGACATGCCTTTATTCATAGCTTCTAGAGAGACTGCTTGGCCAGCCAAAGCCAGAGGCCAAGAAACAGTTGCAAATCAGACACTTCTACTGCCTACTTTCCCAGGTGAATTTCCAGCCTGCTCACCAAAGAGTCGCTGGTTCCACTCTTGGCCCCTGTCAGGACTCATGCGGGAGGCAATCAATAGATGTCTCTCTCTCATACTGATGATTCTCTCTCTATTTCTCCTCTCCTCCCCTTTCTTTTCTACTTTCTCTGAAAATCAATGGATAAAATATCCTCTGGTGAGGATTAAAAACAATTTTTTTGAACAGAGTCCCCCCAGTGGCTGCTGTGTGGTGCAGCAGGACAGGCCGTGCAAACAGGTGTGTCTGAGGCAGGTCTCTACAACTGTCAGGTATTCCTGGACTTAGTGCCTTTGTAAGAAACACACACGCACACCAAGGATAGACATTTCATATCCCCTAAGCCTCACATCTCCATCAGGATTCTGTGAAATCCATGTCTGTCTTACACAACCTGAAGCTTGGTCAGTTCTGTTGGTTTCAGTTGTAGCAGAGCTGCCAGTCTCTATCTCCCTGGTTCTCCTCTAAACCTGCCAGATAGCTGGTGAGATCTCATGATTTCTTCACATGTATTACATGTCTATTCTACTGGGTGAAGTTAACAGCTAAGCAAAGATTATAGAGGCAAGCTGTGATTTGCTGTTTCGTCAAAGGGTTCTTTGAAGAAGAGTATGTTTACTGTCCGAGGTTATCAGATTGACAGCCCACATTAGCCAAAGGTGTTAAAACCCAACTGTATTTTAGAAAGCAAAAGGTTACTGAACATTATGTGCTATTAGTGAAAGTTTGCACCAATCTTTCAAAGCTAAATGCTCCCAGATATCCTATGAATGAACCTCCTTACAAGGTTCAACTGTCAACTTTCTGGGAATAATTAGAGACATACACAACATTGGAAATCACTCAACTTTCCTTCATCACTTCTACAGATTTAGAATGTGCCATTACTCATTCATTTATACCACTTGCCCTCCTGTGTCAGTGGAATTGAGATTTCTCTTCTCACTGAAACTCTTCTAGCAGTGAAGTCAATCCCATCCCACTTCTGAAGAACACCTCCCATAATTACCTCTTCTTGAACACTTTCCTGTGGCAGAGATTCTCCCCAATATGAATGTATTTATGTGATACCCATCCCACTCCCCACAATCCCTAGACTGCCTCCTGTCTGTTTGCTCACAGTGAATGCCCTGAAGCTGCTTCTCATCTCCCACTCTCTCCTTCACCCACTGTAGTCTGCCCCTGGCACTGTCACTCGACTGAAACTACTACTGCTAAGGTCATCGGTGCGTGTGCACATACAAACCAGAGCTCTTCACCCCAGCTCCCCACTCCCCACGCATTCCCTAATGTCATGTGGGGCACTGCCATTTGCCTAGGTGCTTGGCCAAAGACGTCCAATTGAGTTGACCTGTTGCAAACTGTTAGCAACTCTTGTTATCGCTGCCTGTCACTGATAGTGAGTCTGCTTCCTAGTCTATTTGTCACTTCTCACCCATGTCAGTTATTGCCCCTGACTTCTTGGCCTCCAATCAGACTCCCAGCTACAATCATTGTCCCCAAAGCAGCCTGGATAGCTTTTGTAATCAAGAGCACTTCCCCACCCTGCTCAACTCTGCCAAAGTGTTTCCACCAAACAAATAAAAATGTCACTTTCTCCCATGGCCTGCAAGCTGCAAGGCCAATCAGGTAGCACTTGCCCTTCTAGGTCCACATGACCTACATTCTCTCCCTCATTCCACACTCTGACCACACTGGCCATACCTCACTCTTACTCAAATACCAAGTATAAGTTCCCGTCTCAGAGGCTGGCACTTATTCCCTCTGCACATAACGCCAGAGCTCCTCATCTTCCTCAGTTCAGTCAGGCCAGGGTCAGATGTCATCTCTTACAGAGGCTCTTCCTGATCACCTCTCTCAAGTAGCAAGCCCCTCTCAGCATGATATCACGTCACCCTGCTGTACCTTCGTGATATTTACTACTACCTGAGATATTCACCTTTTAACAACACTCAGTTAAAGAAATATTTATCTCTTCCTCACTAGGACAGAAGCTCCATAAAAGCAAACACTTTATTCAACCATGGCTCTCCTCTATCCTCTGCACTTAGATCTGTAAGGACTCAGCTCTGAAGGAGAAATCATCAGGCATAGCTTAGGGTGCTATCGAAAACAGGGAGAAACAATAAAATAGAAGGAAGATAAGCGAGGTTCCAGAAAGAGAGTGAGGTCAAAGTGCTCAATGCTGACAAGAAGTTGCTCATTCCATAAATCCACTAAATACCTGCTCTTGCTACTCTTCCTGCTTCCATGCACTTTTTATTCACACATTTTCTCGGTATTGGAATAGCTAATACTAATTCCCTGCCAGTAGCTCAGATTCATGCTCTAATTCCATATATTCAAACGCGTGGCCTGGTGCATCAAATGCGTGCATGGAGGGGGTTGTTCCCTCAGCCTAGCCTACACCCTCTCCAATCGGGAACCCCTTGGGGGATGTCCAACTGCCAGATTAGGCCCAATCCCATGGGCCTAAACTGGCAGTCAGACATCTCCCTCACAATCTGGAACTGCTGGCTCCTAACTGCTCACCTGCCTACCTGCCTGATTGCCCCTAATGCCTCTGCCTGCCTGCCTGCCTAATTGCCCCTAACTGCCTCTGCCTGACTGCCTGATCACCCCTAACTGCCCTCTCCTGCTGGCCTGACTGGCCTGATCTTGCCAACTGCCCTCCTCTGCTGGCCAATTTGGTTCTGACTAGTCTCTTTCTATGCCAATCAGCATCAAAAGCTCTGCTTCCTAGGCAGCCATTGGCTGCTCACACTTCACCCAGATTTAGTTCTGACTGGTCAGTTTCTATGCCAGTCAGCGTCTCTGGGTCTATCAACAGAGCCTGCTCAGAAGTGCGGCACTGATGAGCATCCCCGGTGGAGGCCTGGAGAGAAATAGAGGTGCTGCTGCTGGCCCGGCTTGGAGAGAAAGAGAGAGGCAAGTGTTGATCAACAGCTGCCACACAGGCTATGGATCAGACCCTGCTTCTCTCTTCAGGCCTCTCTCTGGGCCTGGTTTGCATTCCCCTCAGCAGTCAGTGCTGGGTCATAGTGCCTGCAGCCGCAGCAGTCAGTGCTGGGTCACCACGGCAACCATGTGCTGACTGCATGACTGACTTTCGGTTGGCTGAACCTCCGGTTGTGATGAACTCAGGGTTTTTATATAGTAGGATGATCTCTAGAGATGCCCCTCTGTCTCACAGGTGCATCATCTTAATGTGTTTGAAAAGCACTCACCCTCTTCTACCCCAGATGTTCTCCTTGCTGAGTTCCCTAGCTCTTCAAGTGGGAGCACCACTCCCGCCTTTGATCAGCTGTGCTCAGCACTCCAGATGGCTGGCAGCTCCGTGAAAAGGCCTGTGTCTAATCCAGTGCCCACCGAGGGGTCTCTATTCAGAAGCACAGGCAGCCTCTCCAAAATTCTGATTGAAAACTGATGGAGGAGGCACTGCACTAAGTACTCTTCCCTCAGACCAAGCAGGAGACTTTCCCCTTTAGGATTGTCCGAGGGAGGAGTGATACAATCCCCATTCTTTCTCACGAGAATGGACCTCTCATTCCAAATGACACACTCTTTCCACAGGAAGCCTGGATGAATGACACAGAGCCCCTTACACAGCTGTAGCTGAGCAGACAACCAGCAAAGCCCTTTCAGGTCCTACTGGCACTAGAATCCTGGAAACATCACAGGCAGGCACAAGAGGACAGCAAGGACGGATGAATACCCATCATCCAAGGAACAGAGAACATTGGGCTCTAGTTCTCAGTCAGGACACACATTACAACTGCCTGGGGAATGCAGCCTGCGACTCAGCTTTGACCTACACTGAACCTGTCACTGCCTGGGGCCCAGAAGGTTCTGTTATTGCCTCCATCCTGCCCCATCAGCACACCTTGTATGTATGCCTGTGTGCACTGCATGTGCCTATGTCGCCTGAGGCCTGGAGGGAGAAATTGGAAACCTCTCCCTCCTGCTGCCTTTGATACAAATCGCTTTGTGGTAAAAAAGCAAGGACATTTTAAATCATAGTGATTATTAAGCTCAAGTGTGTGAACTTTACATCCTTTGATAGGTTTCCCTTAATAAAGTTCTGAAAGAAGAACTATCTTACCAATGTTGTTATGGCATATCCTCCTGTTGCCTTAAAGGCAATGAAGAAAGGTCGAATAAATCTGTAAATTGATTCGGGATCAGGATTATGATGAAAGAATTCCTCAGGAACCTTTTCTTCCTGAAAGAAAGTACCCATTGAAGAAAAATATTAAGTACTTTTGTAACAACCATGTTCCACTTGTGCCCATGTGCCGCTTAAAATAATTTTGATTGGGTGACAGGTATTTTAGCCTTTTAAATATAAATAATGGGACCTTAAAAAACAGTGACTGAATATTGACACGCAATAAAGATAAATACAGGCACAACCTCAGAATATTTATATATTCCTTTCCACCTTCCCCTACAATATTCTGTCTAAATGTGAACTATTTTTAGGCTCCAAAGACTTGTTGGTCATCATGTCATACTTCTCTGCAATCAACTTTGAGAATGTAACCATCGGGCTCTAAGGCTGTGCTGTGCATACAGTGCTCACCAGCCACATGTTGTTATAGAGCATATCTCAAGACATTTTAAAATTTTTGTCATTCTAATTAATTCAATATTTAAATAGCTGTTTAATTGTCTTCTAGAGATCCTGACATATCTATTAGGTTATGTATAAATATTCATATTGCTTGATGCTATTGAAAATTTTCTTTTAAACATATACATTTTTGTTTTTCAGGCATGTTGTCCACTGTAGCTCACTAATTATACAAAGCTGAAACTCAGTTCTTACTGACCTATCCTATATAATAAAAGGGTAATAAGCAAATCGACCGAATGGCGGAACAATTGGTCACTGTGATGCGCACTGACCACCAAGGGGCAGAGCCTCAACACAGGAGCTGACCCCTGATGGTCAGTGTGCTCCCACAGGCGGAGTGCTGCTTAGCCAGAAGCCAGGCTGATGGCTGGCGAGCATAGTGGCTGTGGCAGGAGCCACTCCCGCCTCCGCGGCAGTGCTAAGGATGTAAGCCATCAGTCAGACATCCCCTAAGGGCTCCTAGACTGCAAAATGCACAGACTGGGCTGAGGGATCCTCCACCCCCAGTACATGAATGTCGCGCACCGGGCCTCTAGTTTCTTATATAACACGAGAGGCTCAGTGCACAAAATCTGTGCATGGGTGGGTGGCCCTCAGCCTGTGCCCTCTCACAATCTGGGACCCCTCGCGTAGGGTCCCTAGGTTTGACTGGTGATCAGGGCCTACTGGGGCTTTCCTTCCCCTGGCTACTGGCAGCTGGCCATGCCCCCGCTGCTGCCACTGCTTGCCATTGGTGTGGCACTGCCAACCCCTACCCCATCACTTGGCATCTCCCTCTGCGGGCAACAGGCGTGGGGTGTGATCATTGGCTGGCCTGGGATTTCCCTCTGCGGGGTGATCACTGGCTGGCCCTGCACACCCACCACCACATTGCTAGCCAGTGGGCTGGGCCTCCCTCTGTGGGTTGATTGATTGCGGGGGCCCCCAGATCAATCACCCTGCAGAGGGTGGCCCTGCCCACACACGACAGTGCTGTCTGTAGGTGTAGCCTGGGTCTTCCTCTTTAGGACAATTAGTCGTGGGGCTCTGCCCACCCAGCTGGGGCTCCACAAATGGTCACCGCACAGAGGATGGCCTGGGCCTCCCTCATTGGGGCAATCACGGAGTGCCACCCCACCCCGATCGATCGCCCCGCCAGCCAGAGGCATGGGTCTCCCTCTTTGAGGCCTTGGCCTCAGTCTGTAGGGCGATCGTGGGGCGATGGCCGGGCCCCCTGACCAATCACATTGCACCCACCTTGGCAGGCCTGGCACCAGTGTGTGTCATAGCATAGTCATCCAAAGTTCATCTGGAAGGTCGTTCTGCTGTTTGGTTGTTTGGTCGGTTTGCATAGTACACTTTTATTATTATAAACTAGAGGCCTGGTGCACGGATTTGAGCACAGGTGGGGTCCCTCGGCCTGGCCTACCAGGATCAGGCCAAAACCAGCTCTCCAACATCCCTCGAGGGCTCCCGGACTGTGAAAGGGTGCAGGTCAGGCTGAGGCACCCCTCACCCCAGTACACAAATGTTGTGCACTGGGCCTCTAGTTTCTTATATAACACTAGAGGTCTGATGCACAGATTTGTGCACAGGTGGGCTCCCCTGCTCTGGCCTGCAGGGATCAGGCTGAAACCGCTCTCGGACATCCCCCAAAGGGTCTGGGATTGCAAGAGGGCAGTTCTCGGGTTACACACCCCAGAATCCGCTCCCTCCTCTCTGGTTCTGAGTGCATCACCTGAGAACCACATCTGCCAAGTCACAGCAACTCAGTAGCATCTGCATTGAATGTCAGACCTCTGTTGGTCAGTTCGCGCCATAGCTACCAGTTAGACAGTCGCTTATGCTTTTATATTAGATGTTCCTTTTGTAAAATAATTAGATACAACATGGGGAGGGGAAGAAAACTTAAAGGAAGGTAATGTGAACTCCAAGCTGGAGAAAGTAATTTTTTACTAGTGATTAATTTTGAAGCAAATCAGCATGGAATAAGCACAACTGTCTGAGAGAAAAGGACAACCTCAATACAACTGGCACTTACTGTGACAGGATGGAGTCTCTCATCAAAAATGTCCTTGGATCTATTTGCATCTCTAGAAAACAAGAACGTGATTGAAAAAAAACTAATCCAGGAACTGTCGTGTTAGCAACACATCTGCTGGGAGTAGAGGGGGGTGGAGGGAGCTTAACCTCCAACAAAGAAAGTCCTTCTACAAATTCTTCTCTTAGATCCCGTAGGAATTTTCTGAACTCTTTTTATTCAGCACATCAAATTCTGTGAAATTTTTTCTACAATGACCTGCCAGAGCTGCCTTTATAAGCATTGACCCTCCCTAATAGGCAACACTAGGCAACCAAATCGATGGCCAGACCTCTAACTTCTCATTGGCAGACACAGGAACATTTTACAACGCAGTAGTAGTGGGCAATTCTTCATGTGAGAATGAGATTCCTGGTTTTTTTTTTCACTGTTTTTTCTCTTACTAGTTTCCTATATTATATTCTTATTATATAATATATTTCTTCTTGATTCTTTACAATAATCTGAGGTTAAAATTTGCCTTTGAATTTTAAAAGTGACCACTCTATTGATTTGAGGGGGAAAAAATGGATTGGCTGCCCCCTATACATGGAACTGGAAAACTAGCTATGTGGCCTTACAGAATTGAACCTACAACCTAGGTATGTGCTGCCTAACTTGGAATCAAACCTGCCAGCTTTTGGTGTACAAGACAATGCTCCAACCAACTGAGTGAGGGAAACCAGTCTTCTGGGGTTTTTAGGTTTAATTTTCCACACTACTACACTCTGCTCATTTACACAGTGGTTCTCCAAGTGTGTTTTGCAGGCTTCAGTGGTTCCACTAGACCATTTCCAGGAGACCCATGAGGCCAAAACTGTTTGTATAGACATATTAAGGCACTGCCTGCATTTACACTGACATTTGCAATGACTGGATAAAAGCCAAAGTCAGTAAAACTGGTTTCTGAGCAAGAATCAAGGCAGGGGTCCCAATCTGTGCTAGTAGTCATTCTATTCTTCACTGCCACTTGTTGACAAGAAATATGCTTTACTTAAGCACATCTTTGATAAAGCAGTGACAATGAATAATGTTATTAGAAGTTGAATCTTCTTTTTATACTCTACAGTGGTTCTCAACCTTCTGGCCCTTTAAATACAGTTCCTCATGTTGTGACCCAACCATAAAATTATTTTCGTTGCTACTTCATAACTGTAATGTTGTTACTGTTATGAGTTGTACTGTAAATATCTGATATGCAGGATGGTCTTAAGTGACCCTTGTGAAAGGATCATTCGACCGCCAAAGGGGTCGTGACCCACAGGTTGAGAAATGCTGCAAGGGGAAGTATGCATTAAGCATTTCTGCATACTGAAATGTGGTTGTTAAGGAAAAGCACTTGGAATTAGTTGTGAGATGAATGCCCTACTGTTCTCAGAGAATAATATTTTTATTTGATAATACAAGTGTCGTGCACTCAAGACTGAAAAGTGAGTCTCTCACTTCCAGGAAAATAACTTATACATTTCTTGCCAATTGCACAGTTCCAGCTATCAAGCTCAAAATCAAGATTGGGGAAAACTTGTATCCTTTTTGTGACCTAACAGTTTTTCAATACCTAAAGGTTTTTCTGGGAAGACTGGTGGTTATGTGATGCTACCTAACAAAAGTGAGTTTTGATACTGTAAAAAGAAATGTGAGCTGATACTTGACAAATGACCAATGCACAATGTTATTAGAAAATTACTTACAATTTAAGAGATTCATTTAGCATAGAAGATGTATGCATGGGTACTAATTTAACAGAGACCTTAGTACAAGTTCAAGGATAGGATTTAAAATTCCATTGTAACTAATTTCAGAAGACAGCTTCTGTGGACTCTGGTATAGTATCAAAGAATATCCAAAATTATCTGAAGGCTTTGAAAATACAAACTTTTCTAGCCATAAAGATACATGAGGCTGGGTCTGCATATTGTTTATTCAAAACAAATTATTGAGATGACTGAGGTAATCACTAAGGATTGAAGACAGGGTGTAAGTGAGAATCAGCTGTCTTCTGTTGAACCAGACATAAAGAGATTTGCAAAATGTAAATAAGTGACACAATTTCCATTCGACCAATTTATTGTGGAAAATGATTCTCTTTTATAAAGAATTATGTTAACACTATGACTCGCTATCAGGGGTGTTTCTGCCCCCCAGGAAACATTCGGCCATGGTGGATACATCTTTTGTTGTCAAAATGGGCCCTGGGAAGATTATGCTACTGGCATCTAGTGAGGAGAGGTTAGGGAAGCTGCAAACACTCTGTAACGCACAGGCAATCCGCCACAACAAAGCAGTATCCTGCTCAAAATTTCAACAGTGCTATAAAAACCATGTTTCAACATACAAGGAATTCATTTTTAAATTCTCAGTTTTAATTTCTAATACAGTAAATATCAATATAAACCAGATAAACAAATTTTCTTCAGGATCCTCAATAACTTAAGCATTAGGAGTCCTAAGACAAAAACAAATGGTTCGCTTCAACAATGTAATAAGAGCACTAAAGCTTACTTCAATAGTATCCATAGTTAAAATCTAACACTAACTTTATATCTGGTAAGTTTATTAGCTAGAATAACAAGACTGGTTTTAAAACTCACCTCTTCTTTATGTGGTAATATATTGCTAGTGCCAGGCTGTGGAGAAAAGAAAAAGTAACAATTGACTTTATGTCAGGTCTGAAGACAGGTTTTAAAAGGGTTGTGGTGGGGGAAGACCATCCCAGCTTCCAGGGGCCATGAGATCCTCATTCAGAAAGTATCGCCCAAGCACTTTCTGCCTTGTGGTAGTTCTTTGTCAGTTACTAAAATTAGGAAAACCAAAATGCTAAGGAATATGCTGTTAGAAGACATGTTTTGGGTGATTATTATAACATATAAGTTATTACACTCTTGCCCTATCTTTTGCCTTTCTACTCAGAGAACCTTTCATCCTGTACAAGTTAGATCTACTTGTACACATGCTTAAATTTAAGCTACAGTAGTTTTTCCACCTGCTCACCTATTTTCCTTTTTCCCCTAAAGTTAAATAAAATGCTCTATACAGAAGAGAATCATTTAAGGTCACTTTTACATAATTGTTAAGAAAATGTAATGGCAAATATAAGGATGCAATGAAGTAAAATTATACACCATGTAGTATTAAAAACATTTATTTCCAAATTAGTTTAAATAAAATTTTAATGAGCAGATGTAAGTCCTCATATACTGCGTAAGTTCCTATATCCCTATGTTATTCCCAGATGCTGTGTAACATGAAACAAAGGAGTGCTGTAGATCAAGTTATATGCTTTTTCTCTTTGCCCCAAATGTCAGAAATGAAGCTCCAAATAATTGAGGAAAAGCAAATCTGAATTTTATAACTAGGTTATAGAATATTAGCAGTTGTACAAAGGTCTGTAGCATTGTTAGCATCAAAGATGGGCACTTCTATAGTGCTTCAAACAGTTTCATCTTCAAAATGATTTTAAAATCATAGAATTTGAAGCATATAAGCTGAAAGGAACCAATGAACTTGTGATGATATTTAACTCAACAACCCATTTTACAGAGAAAGTAACCAAGGCTTAAAACTGACTTGCTCAAGGTCCCACCAAGAGTGAGAAGCAGTTCTCCTTCTTCTACCCTCTAACCAGGTAGTGTGGTTCCCAAGCTTGGCTGTGCATTGGGATCATCAGAGGAGTTTTACAAACTGCCTTCTTCCACCTTGAGATGCTCTGATTTAACGGGCATTGGTTAACTTTGGAAGCTTCTCGGGTGATGACAAAGTGCAGCAAAGTTTGAGAACACATGAAGTAGAGTTAAAATCAAAATCATCCCAGATGCTTTTCTCCACATAAAAATGCCTTCCATCCCTCCTCAGCTTATCAGAAGGCTTGTGAGAGTGACAGAGTGTGTTAGGGAAGGAGAAATGGAATGCATGTGTTTAGAGACACATTTAGACAAAAAATGCGTAAGTGATTCTAATAAGGCTCACCCATCCCATTGAGAACAATGCACTATTACCCCAGAATAAACATTTTTTCAAAATCATTCCTAAAAGCTAATGAGCTCTATTAATATTCTCACTAAACCTTTAATTTACCAATAGTAAATGTACTGAATGATCATTTTCAAAACTTGATAAGGGCAAATGAAAATTTACTGTACTTCCAAAAATTAGACGAATTTGGAGGGAAAAGGCGTAACACCCACTTGTCTAAGTAAGGCTAATCTTCAAAACAACTCTTGAATTATATATTGTAACACCAGAATCATCTAATTCAAAAGAAGCTATGAAATGCAACCAGAAAGGACTGGTTTTTACTCCCGGGTTTAGTGGCCAGACTGAAGAAAAAGACTCAGTGATTGTGAGTTGGGTGCCAAAGCTCAGGACTTTAGAGAGAGACGGGTTCCAGTTTTGCTGAAACTCAATTTGATCTCAACTGTTGTTATGAGAGAAGAAACTTACATTATTATGATTGCAAACTGGCTGTTATAATTAAAGTAGAAGTTACTGAGAATTTAATTAGCCAAAAAGCTGATACAATATAAACAAAATTAAGTTTATAAATAAATTATGTCTTAGGACTGAAAAATAAAATCAGGAATGAGGATTTTAATATTTTCAGGTAGAATTTCCCAAACTGTGTTCTGGAAAGTCAACCCTCTCATCCTGGAGAGACACCAATAATGATCCTTGGACAGCGCCAATGGGATTCAGGAAGCTCTACATCCTAGTTTGGTTTTATTTTGCTCTTAAGTAAGCTTGAAAGTTTCATATTAGGGTGTTTTTGAAGTGCATCTCCAATTGTGGACTATGAACTCACAGAATTTAATGAATAGTTTTCATCATCATGACACTGTTATGTTTGCTTAAGCGTAAACCTGACTGTGACTATGTTTCCCAAACTTCACCTCTCTCATGCTTTTGCTTTGATTTTGTTATATATGGATCGATATAATGTAGTGTCTTGAAGATGTGTAAATATATATCTATACATATATATATATATATATATATATATATATAACTAAATTTAATTCATCTATGAAATTAAAACCTCAGTTGAACAAATTTAACCCTCAAAGAAATTATTTTGAAAAGTTGTTCCTTTAGACTGCTTTGATGCATTTTTCCTAGAAGGAGAGTGCATTTCAATATAGAAATAGTGCAGGAAAAAAGAAAGTAGGATGGGGGAAACCTGACACAATCCAATGAACTGTATTTGCGGATACACTCTGGTGCCAGTAGGGGACAAGCTGTCCCTTCTTCCAAGAGCAGCTTCCAGGGTAGTACACATGGTTTCAGGCCTGTATCTCATGAAGAAATACTTTATTCCAGAAACATTCAGTGAAACACACCTCTCCTTTCATTGTGTTCAACAATGTCTCAGGAACAGTAATGCCTCAAGTAAAGATAAACACTTTGGGGGGGATTTTTTAATTGTTAAGTGGGTTTCCCTTCTTCCATCCACTCTAAGATTAAAATGGAAGTGGAAATCAATATATAATTGACACCAGTGTTTTAACCTGAGCACTGAAAAGGACAATCAAATGAAAGTACATATGGGCAGGATAAGGGTTCTGTCCCCTATTTGTACTCACCACTGCAAGGTGATTTTCAAATCAGACTGAGAAATAGTGCTGTCTACAAATACTGTAGCACACGAGCTGTACTTTTCCCTAAGGTGACCAGGAGACACCTGAATGGGAAGGGGAGCAGAAGAAAATATCACAGTAAGTTAAACCTACAAAAGTGTGTTTTTCCTTGGTGAAAATGTCAGACAATTAAGCATTACAATTGTTCTCATACCCTATGAACTGCTTCAGTGCAATACCATGTGCAGCTCTACGGCAAACACACTGCATGCTCTCTCTTCCAATGATGAGAATTGACGAGGGGGTCATCAAATGCTGCCCTTGACATACTACCTATAATCCAACTTGGCAAACACCTATGATTAATTCCCTTTATAACAATGTAAAACATTTAAAATAAGATTTTAGTGTTTTTTCCTTGAGAAATGAATCCTGCCAAGATTTCTATTTCTACTATTTATTGTCTACATTAAGACATACTGCCTTCTATAATATTGAAGCAAGAGCTTTTACTGAAGTACATAAAAGCCAATGATAAATGTTAGTTCAGGAGACAGTGTGACAAAATACATGTATCTGAGGCAGAGGTGTGTGTGTGCTGGGGCTGGCCTGCGGCTCACAAGTTAGGGACCAGAGTTCTCTCTGGGCCTCAGTTTCCTTACCTTGAGAATTAAAAAGTATTGTTTTAAGATTCTCTCACATCCAAAAATAGATCAAACAACTCTGAGAATTTAACTCTCTCCTCATGTTGAAATAAGACTATTATTACATTACTCAAAAGACAACCTCAGATAATACGGTACTTAACATGATATTACAAATTCTACTAGAGGCCTGGTGCACAAATTTATGCACACGTAGGGGGTCCCTTGGCCTGGCCCGCCAATCAGGGCTGATTGGGTCCGTCTTGCCCAGTCCTGATCTGGGCTGATCAGGGCCGACCAGCCAGGGGGAGGGACTATGGGAGGTTGGCCGGCCACAGGAGGTTGGCTTTGGGAGCACACTTACCACCAGGGGCAGCTCCTGCATTGAGTGTCTGCCTCCTGGTGGTCAGTGGGCATCATAGCGAAGGGTTGACTGGTTGTAACAGTCTCTTAGGCTTTTATGTATATATAAACTAGATCCAATGCATGAGTTCATGTACGAGTAGGGTACCTCAATCAGGGCTGATTGGGGCTGTGGGAGGTTGGCAGGCGGGACGGGACATGAAAGGTTGGCCAGCCAGCCTGATCGGGGCCATTGGGGCCAGCTGACCAGGGGAGGGGTCATTGGAGGTTCCAATCAGGACCATTGGGGCCAGCTGGAGGGAGGAAACGTGGGAAGTTGGTTGACCGGCCTTGGGTTACAGCCATGGGAAGTTGGTTGGTCAGCGGGAGGTGCTACAAATGGTTTGCCAGTCACCTGGGGGGAGGGGCTATGGGATTTTGCCCGGCCCAAGGGAGAGACTGTGGGAGATTGGCCAGGCCATTGGGGCCATCAGGCTGGCTGGCCAGTGGGGGGAGGATTTGTGGGACGTTGGCTGTGGAAGTACACTGACCACCAGGGTCCAGCTCCTGCATTGAGTGTCTGTCCCCTGGTGGTCAGTATGCATCATAGCTACTGGTTGTTCGGTTGCTTAGGCTTTTATATATATAGATTCCCTAAGCTACATGATACTAATCAGGACCCTGCCTCACTCAGATGCTCTCTCTGACTACAAGGCCTTTTTTTTCCACTTTTTCTCAGCAAGGTTAACCCCACTTCCCATTTACCTCCAGGACACCTCTGCCAGCAGCCACACGAAACAACTGTCCCTTTCTCTGCACTCACACACCTGAGTTACTACTTGTTACATGGTATCAACTGCTTCCAGGGCATCCCTCTCATAAAAAGTGAGCTTCTCTAGGGAAGACAGGGCTTTCACTCCTCTTATACCTCCAACCTTCTCAGCACAGAATCTGGGGCAAGTTAGGCGTGCGACAAGTGTTTGACCAATTGTCTAAAATCTATTGCAACTGGAAGGCAAATCCTACTACTGATACAAGTTAGAATTTACCTACAGTGGTGTCAGACATATGACAATGATTTTTTGAGATATGCTAGAGAATAAACTATCTTTAAAACACTAGAAATATTCATGTCTTTTAGAAGTATCCATTGATTTAAGAGCCCAACAATACAGCAATAATCAAATACGGAAATAGCCCAAATGATGTTACAAAAATCCTCTTAGAGTAAAACCAAAACCCAATTCTAGTCACTGTAAGTAGTTGAAAGTAATAGTAGTATTCTTTAATATGACAGAATACCAACATTCTAATAAGCTTCATTTTGTGAGTGGCAAAATGGCACCAGATGTTTGACTTTTGTCGTTGAGTTTGGCTGAGGAAGAATTTAGAGCCAAGAACTTAAATTATAAGAGAAAGTATATTTAGAAAGTCACAGAGGTAGAAGTGAGCCAGTGTTGCTGCGTGGGCTCAAAACACAAGTTACAGAGGCAGAAGAAGGGCCCCTGGAACTTAGAAGAAAGAAAGGAAGAATATACACGCCCGGGGGAACAAGACGGGGAAGGCATGGGCATGCTCCAGAGTGAGAGCACCTGAGAAGAGGGCGGGGAAAACTACAGGCATGCTCAAGGGAGAGAGAGCACAGGTGCTGGGTCCTTCATCTTAAGGGCTTTTACCTAAAGGCAGAAATTTTAGGGACGGTCTTAGGGGACCTAAGCTGGGCCTGAAGCTGAAACCAACTGAGGCCTATATATTACTTCTAATTTGACCAACACTCTTTCTCTAAGCTCAGCAGACCCGAGGCTTTGTTACTAAGGTTGTTAGAATCAGGCCAGAACCTCTTTTGTCCTCAGGGCTTAATGCTATGGGAGTCAGGATGCAAGGGCATGCATGCAAGTTGTATGAGGCTATTCTCTGGGACCCTTGTTTCTCTTCAAGGGTGTCCATATGCTGGGGGAGGAAAGGTGAGGGGACCAGCGATATGAAAGTTCAGGGGTTGTAAACTGCATGACCTGTGATATGCTCAGGGAGGAAAGGTCAACCTTGGGTGAGGTCCCACCCTACAATACTTGTTTTCCCAGTTTTGCCCATTGCTAGGCACCAACAGCTTTCTACTTTGGTGACTTACTTGGCCTATCATTCCTACTCTGTTCGTGTCTGCCTCACTGCCTACTGTATCAGTTTTCTTGTGTTATTATAAACTAATGCAGATAAGGATTCCTTCCTCATATTCCTATAAAATAGCTTTCATCATGTTGTCAGACTTTCCCACCAGTGTCCCCCTCATATACACAAAAGGCAGGAAAGGGAGATTATCTGGTTGATATATTTTAAAATACATAGCATTTAAAAACTGCCAGTATCCAAGAATCACAAATATCTTTATATTATCCTAGAGGCCAGATACACAAAATTGATGCAGGAGTAGGCCTTCCTTTCCCTGGCTGCCAGCACCAGCTTCCCTCTGGCACCCGGGACCTAGGCTTCCCTCGCAGCCCTGGCTTCATCTGGAAGTTGGTTGTCCGGGAGGATGTGGGGTCAAATTAGTATATTATACATTTATTATTATAGATAAAATATCAATTTGCCTGTTTCAGATGCTTCCCTTTAAAGCCACTGACTCCTCAGTAACCAGAGGCTCCAGCTGGCATAATTTGAAAACAATCACTATTTGGAGGAATACATTCTCCTTCAAGCTAGAAATATCTTAACTATAGCTAAAACTCTGATATGTTTCTTAAGCCATGCAGTTAACATGTACTTTACTTTTCGGATCTCATCAGACAAATACAGCTTAAAATATGAAAACTCATCCAAATACTTTTTTTCTAAATGGAAGGTTGACTACTATACAGCTGCAATATGGCATATAATACACCATAATAAAGTCAATTATGACCAGAAACCTATATAGGGGGGAGTAAAAAGAATAGGAATAAATGCACCAAAATATAGACTAGTTAGTAAAACTTTGGGTGATATTTGCTCCCATTTCCTCTATTTAAATTTTTTTCCATTATAAATGTACATTGTGTTCTATTTGAAAATAGTGCTAAAACACTGAAAAGTTTTAATCAGACATGGGCTCACAGGTCTATGGGGGTTCATTTAGTAAAGCAACACTTTACAGTATAGTACTGTTAGGTCCAATCAAAGCAACACTGAGTAATTCCCCATCAGTCCAGGTCTATTCCCAATTTTTCAAAATTTCCAGTACCAAGTATCTAGTACCCACTATGGTGGCAGAATTAAACCTCGTAGCAAATCCTGGATATACTGGCTACCAGATGATTATGTTCCTCTCATCTTGCTTGAGTATGTAAAACAATTGTTCTTTATGGTTAAAACTTTACTGTTGCTGGCTTACAACCTCAATAAACTCAATAAACTCCATAGAAAACCATAGAGATAAAAATGCAAATACTAAAAAAGAATCAAAGAGCCTAAATGCTAATGACAAGGTAGTCGTTATAGGTATTTCAGTAGGTCACTAGAATACACAAGGCAAAAATCCTACTGTATCTTCACTCATTCAGAACAAATGGTAGAAGAGATTGACTTTTACAATCTTTTCAAGAAAGGGAAGCGGTTCGTTAGATTTACTTATTATTATTATTGTTTTTTACTGTATAAAGTTTTACATGTCTACTTTTTCCCTAATTGACTGGCCCTGCCATTCCCACCCCAGGTGGGCAAGGCCCCACCTCCCCAGTTTCTGTGTCCATTGGTTATGCTAATATGTATGCATAAAAGTCCTTTGGTTTCTCTTCTTACCACCCCCCCCGCTGCCATTTGTCTCTGGATCTATTCTTGTTTATCAAATTATGTTCATCATTATATCATACATATGAGTGAGATCATGTGATATTTATCTTTCTCCGACTGGCTTATTTCGCTTAGCATAATGCTCTCCAGTTGCATCTGTGCTGTTTCAAATGGTAAAAGTTCCTTCTTTTTTATAGCAGCACTAGAGGCACGGTGCATGAAATTTGTGCACTGGGGGTGGTGTCCCTCAGCCCAGCCTGCACCCTCTCCAATCTGGAACCCCTTGCGGATGTCTGACTGCTCATTTAAGCCCAATCCATACACCGGCAGTTGGACATCCCTTTCACAATCTG